AAGGATTTTTATTCATGTCAAATGAGTGGGTAAGTAGCTAAAATAAAAGCCTCATATACTCATTTTCTAATGTTCTATAAAATACTAATGATTTTAAAGCAAAAATATAATATAAATCTTTCCCTTTTATTTTTAAAGCTCACTACTGGTTAATACACTTGTTCGTTCTAAATGTGTTCAAGAACTCCCTCCAAACACATCTTTTTTTAAACTGCATCTCTGATTCTTTTTAGAATGATTATTATTGGAAGATCATTTTATTGGGGGCTCTTACAATTCTTATTACAATCCATACATCAATTGTATCAGACATATTTGTACATCTATTGCCATCGTTTTTTCTAGACATTTACTTCCTGTTGAACCCTTGATCAGCTCCTCTTTTCTTCCCTCCCCCACACCCCATGGCCCCTAGATAGATTATAAATTATTATTTTCATATCTCACACTAACTGCTATCTCCCTTCCCCCTCTGGTTTCTGCGACCCTTTTGGTGGGGGGATATTACATTGTCTACAGATGGGCTTTGGGTCTCTGCTCCAAGCCCCCTCATTCTCAACAGCGTGTTTTGTTTGTTTGTTGTTTGTTATGAATCCTCTGATGCCTGTTACCTGGTCCTGATAACACCCCATGATCGCACCTGCTGGTGTGCTTCTTCCATATGGGCTTGTTGCTTCACTGTTGGATGGCTGCTTGTTTAACTTCAAGCCTTTAAGAAAGACCCCAGAGGCTGTATCTCTTAATAGCCAGGCACCATCCACTTTCTTCACCACATTTGCTTATGCACCCATTTTATCTTCAGTGATCATGTGTGCGGGGGAGGGGGAGGGAGGAGTTGAGCATACAAAATCCCAGTTTGTTAGAACAAAGTGTTCTTGTATTGAGGAAGGGTATGAGCTGAGGCCCAAGGTTCATCCACAACCTTTTTTTAGTAAAACACATTTCAGAGAATTAGGTATTTTGCCCTATATTCCTTGACAAAAATTTAATAATGTTTAATGTTATCATTATATTCAAACTCTTGGTGTGAAATATTTCAAAATATTATTATGTGGACCCTCAGCCTTGTCAGTTTACAGTACTGAAATGATTTTTATATTGCCATGATGCTGTAAACTAAACCATAAGTACTTTAAAAATCAGCAGGGTCACAAGTTACAGCAGAGCTTGTAGGCTAGTTAAAGAAAAGACTGGCTAAGACAGGGTACAGTGTAACAACAATGAAACATACAACTTTCCTTTAGTTCTTTAATGCTTCCTCACCCCCACTATCGTGATCCCAATTCTACCTTACAAATCTGGCTAGACCAGAGGATGTACACTGGTACAGACAGGAACTGGAAACACGGAATCCAGGACAGATGATCCCTTCAGGACCAGTGGTAAGAGTGGCAATACCAGGAGAGTGGAGGGAAGGTGGGGTATAAAGGGAGAACTGATTACAAAAGTCTACATATAACCTCCTCCCTGGGGGACAAACAACAGAAAAGTGGGTGAAGGGAGACATCGGACAGTGTAAGATATGACAAAATAATAATTTATAAATTATCAAGGGTTCATGAGGGAGGGAAAAAATGAGAAGCTGATACCAAGGGCTCAAGTAGAAAGTAAGTGTTTTGAGAATGATGATGGCAACAAATGTACAAATGTGCTGGACACAATGGGTATATATAAGGATTGTGATAGGAGTTATACGAGCCCCCAATAAAATGATAAAAAAAAAAAAGACTGGCTATTTGTATGCAAGTGTTAGCCTATGACAATCTTATGGCTCACAGCCACACACTGTTCAGCTCACTTGCTTTGGTCACATTATCAGGAAGGATCAACAGCAGGAGGTGAATCTCCACTGAAGTAGAAGGCTGAGAAGAATGAAGCGTACCACACCTGATGAGATGGATAGACACAATAACCAACACTCTAATATGCCAGTGCCTGAGGAAGATGAAGGAGCCCTGTGGACGGAGTGTCAGCATGGGAAACAGCTGGCCTATGGTTTGTATAAGGCCCATTCAAGAAATCATCAATTCAAGCTAACATCACAAGCCTCGCACCAAAGAGAAGCGATTCCAGCCTTAATATTCAGAGTGAGTTCATTAAACGTTTGACCAGTACAGCCCATGAATTATTTTATCCATATCCAAATGGACTCAGGAGAAAAAAGGTTCCCCAGCTCAGATGTAGTCTGCAAGGTCAGCAACTATTGCGAGGGTGAAAGAAGTTTTCTACTCCTAAAGATTTACAGTCTCAAAAACCAGAGGGGCAGGTCTACTCTGCCTTATAGGGTCACTGCGAGTCGGAATCGACTGGATGGCAGTGAGTTTTCAGTTTTTCTTTTCTGGTGAGAAGGCAGGACCAAGTAGCATATAATTCTGTTGTATAGAGATCATCATGGATCTACGCTGACTCAACAGCAGCTATCAACTTCAACTTCTCGATCCAAGATTTTCAAATGTAGTATTTCAACCAGAAATCATTGTGGTCAGAGAAATTTAATTGGTGATATGACAAAAGCCCACTTCTTATATTACTATGTGTAGTATTAATAATATACAATAAAATTCAATTTTCTGGTTTCCACAAATCTTACAAACAAGGGAACCGACAAGTCAAGTCACACAATATAACAAATGAAAAACAGAAAACCTGGGCTCTAGTCCTACAAAACTAGACACCCTGGGGGCATTCCTCAACAATAACGTTACAGGTTGGAATGTCACTACTAAATTGCTTCAGCCCCTCCCCTATTGCCCCATACATGTGCACACCCCAATGACCAGATTAAACAGAGCAAAAAAGAACACGTCGATTTATCATTCAAGTATATTCTGCTATAAGAAAGCAATATAAAAAAAAATCACACTGCTATGTAACTATTTCAATGGAAAGAATTCTCATGTCCATCTTCAGTACATTCTAAAATGTCTGATATACAATAAAAACTCAGTACTTACTAAATAAATGGCAAGGGGGAGGGCTGATAGGTGGCCAATAATCAATTATGTACTATGCATGACTCTAGGAGCAACTCTTTATTACTATTGTTCTATAAAACAGGTACTTCTCTTTCACATACTATAATTGCTTTATGACAATTATAAAGTAAATATACAAAAGATTTAAAAGGCTGTAGATCCTCAGATATGCTCTAAAATGTTTGACTATGATGAGAATCATAATAATTTTGGTTATAACATTTCCTAAACCTATCACCTGGCCTTCGTGGTCAAAGTGTGAACACTATCTTAATTCTTACCCATAACCAAAAAAAAGACAAACTCACTGCCAATGAGTCGCTTTCAACTCCTGGCGACCCTACAGGGCAGGGTAACTCTTCAGGGGAGTATAAAAGTTCTTTCTCTCAGGGAACAGCCAGTGGTGCTTTTGAACTGCTGACTGTACAGAAGGCAACGACTACACCACCTCTCACTGCCCTCACGTCAATGCTGACTTACAGTGACCCCCTGGGGTTTCCAAGACTGTAACTGTTTACAGGAGTAGAAAGCCCAGTCTTTCTCCCATGGAGCTGCTGGTGGTTCTGAACTGATGACCATGCGGATGGTGGCCCAACACTTAACCACGACACCACTAGGGCTCCATTGCTCCCCTTACCAATAAAAGATGATCTAAAGTGACTTCCTGAAATGTAATCAGTCCCTTCTACCCATTATAAAGAAAAACACGGAATGAAAATGAACTTCATTTGTACAGAAAAAAAATGGTTTTAAACAATTAACGTTGAATGTTCGTTCACGTGTTTTTTCTGCTCAGTGTGCCATAGCAGTACAACGTTGCTTCTCAGTTAGAAAGGTAGCACAGAATAGACGGAGTGGGAAAAGCAGCCTATTAGTAACCGAGAAGCATTTAGAGGCAAGTGGAAAAGGAGTACACAAACTTTGACTGAAGTCAAGTCAATCATTATGCTTACTATGCACTTCAAACAGGATTCCACTGTGCGTGAGTTGTAATATAGCCCCTTCCTTTAAGAAAAGAAACATTAGTTCTCAGAATGTAAATCTGCATATTAAGTAACTGCACTAGATTCACTGTTTAAATTCATTCATTAGATAACCGCTTATTGACAGCCTTTTATGAGCCAGGACTATTCTAAGACTTGAGAAAGGAGTGCACAACAATAAGTAAAGAACTCAAAAGAAAATACACATGAAAGTACACGGGAAATTTTCAGATAGTGATAAAGAAGATACAAGTAAGTACATTCTTCATTACGGTTTGAGTACTATGATCTGATTTTGTCTTAATATGAATGTTACATGCAGAGCTCAGCAAACGAAACAAATTACTTTAAAAGTGTACAGTTCAGTATGCATGCTAGCTCATTGCAGTTTCAATATCCAAAATGACTTCTAAAATATGCTGAGAGCCATTTAATTAGGAGACAAAATATATGTAAAATACCTACTCTCTCTTTGCTGGCTGGGTACATGGTTAAAGAAAAAAATTTTTTTCAATAAAGGAAAGTAAGGCAGTAACAAAACTATATAAAAGCGAAATACTTAAAAATAATTTCAAAGAACACTCAAATCACTCGCAATTTTCGTTTTTCCTTTTGAGTTGTTTTTAAAAGCTGCCAGGACGCTGAACTTTACTTTTCCTAACAATGACTCATTCTCAGCATCTGTAAAGCAAAGGTAACTTGTCTGACTGCCCATCTTCGGTCCCAAGGAAAACCAGCCAATCTGGGCGGCACCAGGGAAAGCCAAGCAATTTACCAGGAAAGCGCTTCCCCCAAATCACTAGCTCAACCCAGGGCGGCAAGGCCCCAGGGCCTCGGCCCCGCGCCCGCCCGGCCAGCTGGACCCACCGGCCCAGCCAAGTGGCCTCCGCACAGCGTGGGAAGGACGAGCTCCGCCAGCGGAGGGAAACGCAGCGGGATCGCGGCGGCGGGCGCGAGGGGGGATGGAGACCGCAGTGCCCGTCCCAATCGGCGGCCCCGCCGGGCTAAGCCCAGGTCCTCCCAGCCCCGCAGAGCCTCTGACCTCTTCGAGCTGCAGGGCTGCTGCTGCCGCTGCTGCTACCGCCGCCGCCGCCCTTGGAATTCTTCCGCGGAGCCATCAATAGTGCCGCCGGAGTGGTCCGAGGACTAGGCGGCTCCCGAAACACGCAGGGACGCGGGCGGCGGCGATAGCGGCAGGAGGTACCTGACTCTCAGCACCACCAGCAGAGCCTCGGAGGACTCCACGCTCGTGCCGGAAGCGCCCACGCCACGCCCTCGTTTAGGCGGAACCAGTGACTCCCTCGGAGCCAGAGCCCGGGATTCGCGGGACACAAGGCCACACCCCTTCCTGCTGCGCACACCTCTGGCCCGCCCTCAGACGGCAGAGTGACGGCACGTGCTAGCCAATCGCAGGCGCCGCTCTCAGGGGCGTGGTCCTGCGTGCATTTCACCAGCCCCTGCAGAGTGGTGACGCGACGCAGCGCAGCTGAGGGCGAACGTCTTTCGGTTTTCCTGTTGATCCCTGTGCTTTGGAATGTGGCAAATTTGGAAGCCGAGGGGCTCTCACGAGGTTGGATGGCTGGCCCCCGCAAGACTTGAATGGGCGGGGACGAGGCGACACGTGGACTACGCCTAGGCGGTGGTCAGCTCCACTTGGCCTTTAGGGAGAATGGTTTCCCATCCCTGTCCACATAGACACGTAGGAATTCTATAGCGCTTCTGGTGAAAGAGGTGTCTTTCTCTTATCTGTGTTTAATATTAAGAAATTTCTGAGATGGTGATATCGGGACCAGTTCAATGAGTAAATACATGCGTTTAAAAGATTTGGATCATTAATATTTGCATTGAATCTAGACATGCAAATAGAAATGTTCATTTTCTTATTCCATTTAGTGCCCTCTCTCTCTGAAATCTCTCCCGGCTAGTGCCATCTTTCCTACTTGCTCAGAGCCTGTACCCTAAACACATATGTGATCAAGTGTATCTGCACGCTTCCAGTCTGAGGCTAGAGAACAGGAACGTTGTACTCCTTGTACAAATAGCCAGCTCATTCCACAGTGTGTTAAAGAGACTCGACAACAGTTAGCTAATGTGATACTTTAGGGGGGGGGGAAGTTTGTGATTTAGGGGAAGGTTTGCTAGCCAGAACATCAGTTTCACCAACTGTTCATACGCATTTTGTTTCTACTCATCCATTGAAATCCTCCGATGTATATTATCCCTTATCCAGGATTCTTTGATGTTTCCTGTTTCCACTGCTCCTTTTTAAACCCTCTGACCTTTGTCCTTGAGTAAATGCTACCCGTTTCATCTGAGATGGTCCATTATTCCAACATGGTGATACATTGACTTCCAGGCCTGAAGAACAACCAAGGAACATAGTCCTGGGAGTTCCACCAAGTCTCCATTCAAACACTGATTTGCTTTATGATTTTTCAATTTGTTCCACTTTTTTCTCCCACCCTATCTAGGACCTTCTAATGTGATCCTTTTCAAAGTAGTTGATAGTGGTAGCCAGGCATCATATAGTACTTGTCTTGGGATTATGGCGATTGATGTTTGCATGCCCATTAGTTCATTGGACTAATTGTTTCCATATATTACCTTGATTTTCATCACTCTTCTTTTCTATGGGCAGGGAGAAAACAAAGGTTGCACCTTAGATAACTGCTCACAAGCTTTTAAGACTATAGTCACTAGACACCAAAGTAGGTTGTAGAGCATTGTCTTTGTGAACTATGATAGGCCAAGAGACCTTGTTGTCCTTGAGACTCTGGTCATGATCCCTCAAGTACAGTGACTCGTCACCTCAAAAAGTTTGGTTACGTCTAAGAATTATTCATAACTTTGCCTCCTGGATGCCCCGCCACATTCATGGATATATATTTGAAGTAAAAGTAAATACATATATATAAATATCCTGTCAGAGCTATATATATTTGTGAATATTCTTCTAGTCTCCACACCTATTCAACCTGCATGTCTGTCTAAGCATATACTTGCAAGTCACCTCTATTGCAGCATTGTGCATACACCGTATATACTCGAGTAAAAGCCAACCCAAATATCAGCTGAGGCACTTAATTTTACCACAAAAAACTACATAGAAAGTGTACTGAAATACTCAGCTTATACACAAGTATATACGGTTGCATTTGCCTCTGTTGCCTTTACCTCTTACAAACCTTCCAATCTTGCCCTGGCCCATCATTTTTAACCAATTTCCCTCTTGTATATTGTTTTCCACTCATCCAAGTTAACACCAGAAGATGCAAATAACACAAACAAGAAATGGGAGCCATCACAACAGAACCAAATGAAATAAAAGGGATAATAACAATACTATGAAGGCCTATACTCAAACAAATTTAAAAATATTGAAGACGTGGACAAATTTCTAAAAATACATTTAACCAAATTAACAGACTGACAGAAAATCTGAACAAATTCTATGCAAACTCAGAGTATAGAAAGGAAACGGAAACTCTCAAGCTCAATTTTGAAGCAAGCACAAGCCTAGTATCAAAATTGGGCTTGTAAGTGACAGAGCTCTTACTGCTTGTCATAAAACTAGGATACAAATTCAAGAGACCTCACTCCAGCCTCTATAGTTCTGACTCATAGCAACCACATGAACAACAGAACCAAACTCTTATCATAAAAACATATTCTTGAAAATATTGAAGAATAAAAAATAATAAGGGTCTATCAAGCAAAAAAAAAATCTAGGGTAAAATAAGTTTTTACTTTATATGAGGATGGGAGAAAGAGACTTTCTACTCCCATAAATAGTTACAGTCTCTAAAACCTATAAGGGAAGTTCTACCCTAGTGTGTAGAGTCGCTCCAATTCAGACTCCACTCAATGACAGTGATTTTAGGAGGAGTGGGGGCAGGAGGGGAGGAGTCGCATTATTTTGGGATGATTACTTAAGTGTTCATTTTATGAGCATTTTTTAAACTGAAATGAGTGTTTGGTATATATTCCTGATTGTTAATTTTCAGAACTTAACAATATATAGATATTTTAAAAGAAACATAAATGTCTTTAAGAAAACAACACCAAAATAAAGAAAGAGAAGAAATTCACTTATAATCCTATAACCTAGATTGAGATGTTGTGTTAGTCTGGGTTGACTAGAGAGACAAATTTATAGACACACGCCTAAGTGTGTAAGAAAGAGCTTTACATAAGAGTAATTGTACATTAAGAAAATATCCCAGCTCAGTCCAGATCAAGTCCATAAGACCGTTATTAGCCCATATGTCCAATACCAATCTATAAAGTCCTCTGCAGACTTATGAAACACATGCAATGATGCCAGAATTCAGGAAGATCACAGGCCAGTGGGTGGGAAGTCTTGTGGATCCAGTGGCATTGCAAGCAAAGCTGTACAGTATGTGTCTTGTCAGCTGCAATGTATCCCAGGGAGTGAGTATGTGCCCCACTTCCAGCGAGCTATTTATCTCTTTAGTGCTTCCCAATGAGGTCATCAAGCTGTGACCTGATTGACAGGCTAAACTCCAGCCCTTTACTTCTAAGTCTCAAATTGGCAACAGATTATGTAACCACCACAAATGTTATTTAATATCTAGGCACATCCTTCCTTCCCTTATCTAATTGTGTAAATAAAATTGGGTTCATATATCCTGGTGGAGTAGGTAGAGTAGTGGGTTGTATGTTGGGCTGTTAACTGCAAGGTCTGCAGTTTGAACACACCAGCCAATGTGTGGGAGGAAGATAAGGCTTTCTACTCCCACAAAGATTTACAGTCTCAGAAATCCCCAGGGGCAGTTCTGGTCAATGGCACTGAGTGAGTGCTATTGTATACATCTTTCCAGGTCATTAGATACTTTCCTAAATAAGAAAATCTAGATGAAAGAAAGCACAGAGGTCAGTGAAGACACTAACCATTTGATAAAACATGCATCAGTTTAGGGGAAATTGGACTGTGGTTTTCATAGCTGACAGAGAAAGAAGACAAAGTCAAGGTCAATTCAGAGTGGATTATCTAATGGAAGACCATCACACCATAGAGCTTGGCCCTTAATTGACAGTACTTTCATACAGTTGGAACAAGACATAAGCGTACCCCACACCCACCCCTTAAAGGACTTAAATGAACTGCACTGGAACTGAGAAGAGTGGGAGTGGGAAGCCTATCCTTGAGATTTGTAGCCAACATGCATAACCCCTGGTTGTCTCAGACAGACAGAGAGACAGAAGCCTTTCAAAGTTCGCTTGAAACTGAAGTGAGGTTCAGACTGGGAAATACCAATACCTTCCCTTGTTATCTTTGCAATAATGTATTGAATGTTGAAGTTGGAACCTACTTTCATTCTAGATTTCAAAGAAAGCCTACTAGAAATGTATCAAAGTTACTGAGCAACAGCTAATAAAAAATAATTAAATACATTTGGAAACAGGACACCAAAGCTGGCAATCAGTATAAACAACAGCAAAATCAGCCATACATACTTAAAATTGTTAGTCTCATATAAAATCACTTTTTATTAGAGTTAAAGAAATAATCTAAAAGTTTCTGTAAGTAGTATGTTAGTATAAAGAGTTAACTCGCAGGATGTAGAATTAATCAAACTATCACTAAAGTCACACAATTAAAATATTACCGAAGATATTTAAAACATTATGGCAACAGCCTATCAACAGTTAAATACCAGGAAAATTCAAGCTGGATTCAGAAGAGGCAACGGTATGAGATGGGTTACAGTCTTGGGAATCCACAGAGACAGTTCTACCAGTCCTGCTGACTTGCTATATGAGTCAGAAGGGACGCAATGGCACTGTGTTTTGTTTGGGTCTTACATGGTAAAGGAAGTAAATAAATTTCACATGGATTTTCTATATAATACTTTAAAAAATATTTTTAACTATATGATTATTTTAAAGCTTCATTATAAAACCTATGAAGTGTACCCTTGTATGATGTCAATAGGTGACCAGTATTGGTATTTTAATTCTAGAAGTTAAATATAAAGAAAACTATACTGATCTTACGGTAGGACATTCATTGAGATATGTGCAACACATGACAGGTTTACACAAAAGAACAGTTTACAGTTATTTGAGAGTATACAAAGAAGCATTAACACATCAGCCAAACTGTTCACAGACAGGAGGGGAGGACAAGGTTGGGAACATAAAGTAACTGATAAGTTTGCAGACCCCTGACTTCTGCGGCTTTTGCCAGGGAACAAGAGGCAAAATGTCCATTTTATCTCAGGCATTGAGAAAGGCCTGCAATTGCTGCATCA